CCCCATCCCCATCCCGGGGGGTCCCGGCGGAGGGTCCCGGCGCTCTGCGGCCGAGCAGACCCCGCGGCCACCAGGGGGCAGCCGGGTCCCCGCAGGCCGCGGCGGAACAAAGGCCCGGCCCGGCCTGGCCCCGGGGGCTCGGCCCGGGGGGAACCCGCCCACCTCCCACCCTGCCCCGGGGAGAGGGGTGGGATCGGCCCGCGGGAACCCACCCAACCCCCGGGGGAACCCACTGACCTCCCGGCGGCACCCGGAGATCCAGGGAATCCAGGGACACCTCCATGTACTCCATGCTGTTCTCCTGGCCGGGGCCCTCTCTGCCTCCCAAGGATGGTTTATAGGCTTCGGCACCTAGATGGGAACACGGGTGTATTTATACAGCTCAAGAAAACATAAATAATAAAATAAACACATCATGTGCGGGCAGCAAGGGCCATAGTGAAGCCAGCAGGCTGTATGGAGGCCATGAGTCAAGATACACAGAGAATTATGGAAATACAACATCTGGGTGTACACAGCACCACTGATCTCTTCTTCCTTCTCCGTCTGATCAGATTTTCTACTTCCACTTAGGTAGGGAACAACAAAAACAGAATCAATGAGAGCACTTCTGCCTCTGACAGGCACATCTGCCTGCTGCTGGAACCGCATCGGCGGCAGAAGATGAAATGGCACAAGGAAGGGATGAAACCAGGGCTCAGCGCATCCTCCTGCCTCCGACCTGCTGCAGAGGGCTCCAGGTAAAGTCCAGCCACGCAGAGCCAACCAGCTAATCGTGTACATCATGAAGAGGATGAGACAGGTGACATTCAGCTTAAAGGGAAGGGAAAAAACATAAAAGCCAAGTTCTGGCTCTAAGTGAACAAAACTGCTGCTGGGAAGAGATGGCATGGGGACCCCTCGGGAAGAGATGGCATGGGGACCCCCTTGCTGGGAAGAGATTGTGTGGGGACCCCCTTGCTGGGAAGAGATTGTGTGGGATCCCCTCGCTGGGAAAAGATGGCATGGGGACCCCTCGCTGGGAAGAGATTGTGTGGGATCCCCTCGCTGGGAAGGGATTGTGTGGGGACCCCTCAGAGCCTTCGTAGGAGTTGTCAATCTCCTCACACTCCCTCGGCTTTGCTTTCTCTCCTTGGTTTGCTTCTCCCACTCCAACTTGGCCAAGAGAATTTCATTAGCCTGCAAGACTGGTTGCCACTTGTATTGAAGAGATGGAAAAATCAGTGAGCATCTGAAATGAAGAATTAGCTATTTGCTCTGAAAGGGATCAATGGCCCCTACTTCATCTTGAGAAAGGGGAAGAGGAGCAAGCCAGATGACTGACAAACCCCAGGCACAGGCTAGAGGCTGAAACATGGTCGTTTAGCTCAGAAGTAGCCACATATCAGTTAATTAAAAAAAAAAAAAAAATGGCCTACTGGCAAAAAATTAGCAAGCACAAAGAATAAACTTTGATGGCAATGGATGTGTGAAACCTTCTTAATGAAGCTGAAGGCACAGCTTCACTTCAGAGACCATTAATTTTTATTTTTACCCATGTTGTTACCTTTCCTGAAGAATAGTATCAGATCCAGCCTGCACTCCTGGCTCTCCCCACCCCACAGCTTTCATAAGACAAAGGCCACTGAATCCTTTTCTTCTGAGTGCTGGGTAACTTAGGTCAAAACAAGAATGACCACCTGAACGACATCCACACCATAAGATGGGCCAGAGGGAGCTCATTACAAACACTGTGGTGCTTTCTAAGTAAAGACAACAACCTGCACATACCATCCAGCTGGACAAACAGCCATAAAAATGCAACTAAGCATCACTCGGAGGTGGTTCTTCTTTTCCCTTCTGCATCTAATCACACTCCCTGAGCTTGTGGGACACATGACACCTCATAGACTTGAGTCCATGAGGTCTTTTTTGGATAGTCTAAAATAAAGGTCACCTCATAACTATTCTGCTGTTAATCTACTGTCAGTAAGATGTAAGTTCACATCATGAATCATAGAATCCCAGACTGGTTTGGGTTGGAAGGGACCTTAAAGCTCATCCAGTCCCAACCCCCCTGCCAGCAGCAGGGACACCTTCCACTAGACCAAGTTGCTCAAAGCCTCATCCAACCTGGCCTTCAACACTTCCAGGGAGGAGCAGCCACAGCTTCTCTGGGCAACCTGTTCCAGAGAAGAACATGGTTTATCATACAGCCCATCCTTGTCAAGGAAGAGCAAGCTCTTCAGACAGCCACTGCCTTATGGGCCTCAGAGGGTCCTTACTCCTCCACCTGGAACCTGAATTTCTACACAATTAAGGAACAAAACACAATTAGTTACCTAACATACTGGCTTGTTTCTTTTTATTCCTCCTTCTCCTCTTGCGGGTGGGTTTCAACCATGGACTGTCGGTCTTTCCTTTCCTCTTCAACAGTTTCTTCTTGACGCTGGACTCTGAGCTCTGAATAACCAGAGAGGCCACGTGCATGTAAGGCATGTCGGCATCAGCGTCCCAGCAGTCCTTTGCGCCCGTGCGAAAGAGCCTTCTCGCAGCTTGAGTGATGCGAAAAGGCCTTAAGGACTGGAGGGTTTGAAATCAAATGGTGCTAAGATGTCTTTATAGAGCCAAAAAGGAAACACAAGCCCACGTGTGGGTGTATTTCCTGTCATTTCAATAGTGCATGCTTCACTTTCTCTTCCACGTAGGTTCTTACACCACACTCATCGCAGTAGTAGCCGAGCACCTCCCGCGCAGCAGTGCATGTTAGCAGGCACACACACACACACACACACACACACACACACTTTTAGCTTCTCCCCAGAAAAACTGTGGGGTTTTCAAACTAAAATGCTCACATTGCTCCACGTTCATGCTAGAAAATGCCAACAAAAACCAGACTTGCACAATGAAGAGCCATCTTACAGGGCTGGGATGGACTCAAAGGAATTGAACTCTACAGTAACAGACCAACCCCCTCCTTGAGCTATGTACAGGGTACCACAGAATAATCATGCAGCAAATATTCAGACACATATATTAATCTAAAGAGGATTTGGATTTTGGTTATAAAAAAAATATACAGTTGTCTGGGGTGGGTTTTCAAAGTCAACATGGGACTGGGGAATCAGACACCCCAACCCTGGAAGGCAATCTTCAACGCATCAATCATAAAATCCACATTCAAACTCAAACCATCAGCTCTTGATGCTTAATCCATCTCCCACTAAAGCTCAGGAAAAACCTCCTGCTCCCATGAACAGCAGGTGGATCAGGCCCTACCTTCATAGCAAGCTGATGTTGCACCATGCCCTGTTATCACAGGGAGCGAAGCCGGGCAAAGGTAGAGCTGAGCCCTGGCTCTCTAAGGCAGCTCTATGGTGTCTCCACACGCTGTCCCTGATAACTGTGCTCCAGTGTGGGCTTGGTTGTGCCCCGCCACGTGGCTTACACCAATTGCATCACACTGCTCGTGGGGGAGAGGTTTGTGTTTCAGCCAGTCCCTGTCTGGGGAACCGACTGACTCACCAGATATGAGCAGAGCAAAAACCAGTGTCTAGGATGTGGAGATATGACTTGGATTTGACTGCAAGCTCAACCCTTGGTTTGAGTTAATGCTACAGCCTGGCCTCAGCTACCCAAAGAAAAGGGGCAGGGTACACAGCCCCTGCTGCTTGGTCCTCTCTGGCTCCTGTAGTGTCAGAGGACTAGGAATAAGACCCTAAAGAGCTTCAACGATTCACATGGTATAGTAATTTCTACCTTCAGCTCAAAACATCAAGAAAATGAAGCCAAGAATTTTTCTCAAGGTGACTGAAGAGTTGGGGTGCCTTAAATGCTGGCTCCTCAACTTGAGATGCTGTGGAAAGGGAGCAAAATTTTTAAGTAAAGGGGAGGGTGGGGGACAGAGACAATCAATGAACAACAATTTAAATGGGAAAAAACAAAAATCAGGTTCTTTTCACTAGCCATCTAAAAATGAAAAGCAGGAAAATCACCAGCAGCTGGTGAAAGTCTTGCCCTAGCACTTTATAGACAACCTCATAGGGAGAGCGTCTGTTTGTCTGTGTGCTATTTGTATGTCTTCCTGATAAGAGCTGCCTCGAGTTTGGGCTGGGCCAATGGATTTGTGACCAACTCCACCTGAGCTCCGAAAAGAAAAGCCCTGTAGAGCTTCAGGTTGTTAAAAAAACCCATTGCTGGCTCCTACCACTTGTCAAGTCTCCATCTGAAGGATTGAAGCACCCTTAAATATTTCTCCTAACATTCAAATGATTAAAAGCAGTCAAGGCTTTGTTGAAAACAACAAACAAAAGCCCATTAATTAGCATCAGAAAGCAATTAATTGTATCACAGATCAGGGTTAAGCACCTTGTGGAAAACAATACTGTGTGTGGGGGTGGTTTCAGAGAGTGAGTTTTGTCAAAGAGATATGAAACTACCCCGGCTTCGCTCTCTCGCTCTCCCTCTTTCTGGCAGCAGTGCAAAGGGGAAATTATTATCAACAGGACAAAGGCTGAAAGACACAATTAGCAACCAGACTTACCAAGTCAGACTCATCTCCATCCTCCTCCTCCTCCATAGACTCTCCAGACTCTTGTTCCTCCTCAGACTCACCATCATCAATCTGCAGCCACCATTTGCCCAAGAACAGAAATGAGTCAGTCAAGTCAGGTCTGTCAAAGCAGGGCAACCCCCCCATCATTCTGCTGTGCCCAGCACCCAGCAGAGCATCTCCCCATCATCCTGCTGTGCCCCTCACCCAGCAGAGCATCCCCCCATCATTCTGCTGTGCCCAGCACCCAGCAGAGCATCTCCCCATCATCCTGCTGTGCCCC